TGCTGACTTATCCAGCTCAAAAGAACTCATCAGGTTACAGAATAACTTATTTTGCTCCTCAACAATACTAAGGGCTAAGGAAAAACACAATGCATAGGTGACTTATTCTGTTTGGAGGGAAAATTAACTTGTGCATAATTCTGAAATCTCCCAAAATGTTATGTTCTATGAGCATTATTGAAAATACAGCCCTTCATTAATGCACAAATACCACTCTGACTGCCAGCGTTCTCTGGAATGCCATAGGAAGCCCTTTGTTACCATGGATAGTCTTGATCTTGATACAAATATTCCTAATGGAGTCACAATTTACATAACTTTTCCTAATGTCAGGAAAAGTGCTACATGTTAAGAAAAATACTCATAGTTAACCAAAGTGAGTGCATTTTGCAGGCGTGATATAAACATAATAGAGAATGATTCAAAGAGTGGATTAATGATGAATGAGAAAGTCATTCATCTACTTCAAAATTTAAATAAATTACTTTTTAAAGTGTAATATGCAACGTTGTGCAAGATTATTCCAGGAGATTAGGCACTTCCTGTTTCTCTTCCTCACTTTGGGCAGCTTCATTAAGTCAGGTCACAGTGGAACCATTTCTCACACAGAGGCAAGGACTGGCTGAACAGCCCTTTCGAAGGCAGCAGTGGTGAATACAGCTGCCAAAAGTCTTTGCTAGAACCTGGGACTAGAATTCGCACTGGAAGAAGCTGGCTCAGAGTGTGGTACAAATATGATACTTGTAATTGCATGTTTCTAATTCGAAACTCTGGCATCTGTTGGAGTATTTTCTGATGCCAAGAAGCCAAATGAAACATAAAGTGAAGAAACTCTGAAGTTGGAAACCCAAGGACAGTCTCAGAGCTGCAACACTAGGCTGTATTGTTTCTGCTTTAATTTCCAAATTCATAGTTTTGACCTCCCACAGAATGCATGCATTAATTTTCTAATAATGATATGTATGTGATCCATTTATAATTTAGATAGGGTTTTACTTATTTTTATTGTCCTGCTAGATTAAGAAATGGGTGGGGGGTGTTACGGGTTGACTTGATTGAGGAGTTTTAACTGAGCAGAACACCAGAAACCCTTATCTTGCAGAAAACTGGTAACTAAAAATTGGGAAGAGCAACTTGAAAAACCACAAGGTGAAAAGGGTAAGGAGAATTCATTTCCTTCCCCAGAGTGAATACTCATTTCCTTGTAGTCTTCACTTAGAGTCAGTTTCCACATTAGAGTTAGTTCATTGTTTTTAATGAAGGGGATACAATGCCTGAGAAGTTCTATTTCTTGTTTACCTGTTATGAATTTTTCTCAGAATTAAGTTTAGTAGAACCATATTGTGGGGCTTAAAAAAGTACAGGCAACCAGTCATTAATAAAAAGCTTAAAAATATTGAAATCATTAGTGACTGGAATATAGCAGTCACTGGAAGAAGAAAGTTTATTACTATTTCTAAGACTTTTCTTAATTGGTAGAGACTCCCTTCATAAGAAATACAATTCCTTTTCAAATCTTCTATTAGTAACTATGTGAAATGCTTAAAAATCTTTATCTCAATGCAATTGCTTTTTCAGATTCTGAGTATAGAACTAGCAATTAAATAAGTTTAACCTCTGTTGTAGTCTCACAACTCTTGTTCTTTCTCATTTATAAAAGCACCATTATTTTCCTATATCAGAAATAAAATCTTGAAATTTGGTTCATTGGCTTTATTGATCTCTTATTTCTTCATCCAGTCATTTGGCACCATATATACACATTCAGTGAGTCACCAAATCCATCCATTTTCCTTCCAAATAACTTACCTTGAGGTTAACTTTTATAACAACTTTATATGTCACCCTTATTACATGCAGATCTTTCTAACTGTAAGAGTAAACTTCTACATGGGGATTAAATTTAGACACGGATCAATGAAAATGGGAGGGTAATGGTAAGAAAGGAAGTTTATGATAAAAAATATGACAACTTGTAACTCCCTATTTTACTTTAATGTACCATCAATCCTTAAAGAGAAAATAATAAAAATATCCTTTACTTGCGCAATTTTATACACATACACATAATACACACTTCAAGAAAAATCTTTATCAAATTGTATAGAATTTTCTTTCAGTTAAATGGGTAAGTTCCCCACTCCAACTAGAGAGTTCAATGTGTTTGTTCACAACTGTTTGTCTTAATGAAAGCAGACTGTTGGTTTTCCCAGATTACACAAAAAAAATCTCATTTCTCTACCCCTGTACATGCCTTTTCCTCTTCTCAAGATAACACTTTTTGTTCTGTCTAATGGAGTTTTGTACAGATCTATTTAATTTCTTTTAATGATTTCCTAAAACCTATATGAAATATTGCAAGTTCTACAGCATTATTAACTATCCAGCCAAATATCTTCTAAGCTATATATACTCAGAAGCAATATTTTACTTTTAAATATACCTTTATTCAAAATCAGATACATGCATGTATATAAACACACATGTGTGTATGCATGTAACTTTAATTGGAATTAACTCAATTGATAAGTTAAAATGGTATTTGCTCAAGTCAGTGAGAAGACTGGTCAGTAAATTTTAAATTGACTGACAGTCTGACTTTTGAAATGTTTTTAAATTTATTTATACTTTTTGATTTAAAAAACATTTAGATATTGTTGATTTATACATAATTTAAATTATGGCTCCTTACGGTTCTTTTTGCAATATCAGACAATCTTGTCATTAATGAGTATGAGAGAAAAATTTACCTTAATATCTGCTTGGAAAGACATCGACAGAAATTAAATTACTAATTAATTGTCATGGTATTTATTGTAACTTACTATATTACAAGTTTATATTTAAAAATATTTAAACATTTCATTTGAAAATACTTAGGTGTACAGAAAAGCTGCAAGATATGCAAGTTTCTACACACTTTCAGTTCCCCCTTAATATCTTACTTTGGGAAAGTATGTGTGTTTCAATTAATAAGCACATACTAACTAAAGCTCACAGTTTATGTAGATTTCCTTGGAGTTCACCATTTGTGTTTTTCTTTATATTTTAAGAGCTAAACTGCACTTTAAGAATGAAATTTGAGTAAAACGCTCCATGGATTCTTTGGCTTCTGTGGAATACAGCAAAAACCATGTTTGTTTGTTTGTTTTTAGTTACCTGCCTATTGTCTGTTTGCCCTATGCCAACCTTTATTTTTCAATAAAAATTGCTTTTTTTTTTAGTTCCCTAAATAAATTATACTGTTTAATGCACCATGACTATGTTGACACTTGCTTGGATAGTCTCTCTCTCCTTGTTCAATAATAGATTTTGATTAATTCCCTAAAATCATCTCTACTGTGTGGCTTCATTCCTAAAGATGCTAATAACCAGTCTACAGTCGACTTACTGTCAGCAAATTTTGCCAAACTGAATGCTCACATTTCCACTCTATCTTGTTTGATTTGTGCCTTTCTTCCCATTTGACTAAATTTAATGCAATTCCCGTTTCCTTTATATAGATATGACATATAGAATTTGAGAAACTTACACACTTAACTGAAAGTAAATTCCATAAAATTTGATAAAAATTTTTCTTGAAGTGTGTGTGTGTGTGTGAGTGCATGAAAGCGCACAAGTAAAGGGCATTTATTTTTTCTTTAAGGAATGATGGTGCATTAAGGCCAAATAGGGAGCTACAAGTTGTCTTATTTTTCCAGCATAAACTTCCTTTCTCACATTACCCTCCATTTTCATTGATCCTTGCCTAAATTTAAACCTGCATTTTTCTTTCTCTAAGTCAATATTACAATATTACAATTCAGAAGCAGAACTATTTTCACAGGAAGAGGGAATGTTTTCAGGGACAGTCTGCAGAAATAGAATTCTTAAGTTAGTAAATTCAGAGAAGCATGACAGGTCACCAAGATCGTGAAGTGAGATGGACGATGAGGGAGGAGAAAAATACAGAAAACGAGGCCAGACAAGAAAAATGGGTGTCCCGTCAAATAGAGCACAGTACTTGAGAGTGAATTACAAGGACTGCATTTCCAGCTTTCTCAGCAAAAGGATTCCCCTAGTCAAGTAGACACCCGGGGATCTGAAACATACTAGCAACACTCTAAACAGTTAATTAGACTAAGCTTCCTTTGGGTGGTCTGAGGATGAGCTATGAAGAGTCTGTGTTTCCTTAACAAGACAGGAAAAAATTGAGATCAAGTAAATGCTATGGTCTTGAGAAAGTGTTTGGATATTTCTAATGATAAAATGTTGCTTCTTAGGAGACTGCCTGTCTCCTGGGGAAAAATTAATGGACCACATGTGACCTGCTGTTCCTACCTTCCACTCACTTCAGCTTGTCCATTTGTTACCTAGAAGAAATTATGCACTGAAGAAAAAGCAAGAGGAAAAAGGAAAGCACTCTGTCCCGGTAAGCCGACCCTACAGAGCAGCTCTCCCTGGCAGGCCACTGACCCTCTAACCTTTGGTTTATCAGAGTGAGGAAATCAAAGGGAGACTCCTTATTTGTCTTCCCATTCCATCTCACAAAGCTTCACCTTCAACACTCACCTGATTTTCAAGTCTCCTATAAATTTATGCTTTAAAATGGATACCATGTAGAGTGACATGTTCATAAAACATTAAAATAGCTATTCTCTTCACAAGTATTTCCTGAATATCAAAACTGTGGTATCAAAAGAACCACGTTACATTTTAGATCATTTCACCAGAAAGGTAACATGGATAATCTGGGATTTAATAAAAACAAGGGCATTATTCAAAAGTTAAATAAATAAAATTTGAAAGAACTAACCACAACCGAAAGAAAAATAGTTCAACCACAATAAACCATTCTTAACAAATGGAGATAATTTTTAAAAAAATATTTTTCACTAATTCACTGTTCTGTTATGTAGTTATCTCTGGTGATCAGAAACTACATTTTGCTATGTACTTTATATATGCACTTTGTATAATTTTCCAGTAAGGAGCAAAGTATTGGGAAAAGCAGTACTAACCTTTATGGGCAAGAAGTTTGTCAAATGATTCACCCCAGATCATTGCTTCTTTTGGGGAGACTCTGTTCAAGAAACAAAATGTTTTATAATGGAGTATACAGAAAGTCTGTTGTGAATCTGTTCAAACATATGTTATAATACTGCTCTTTTTAGTCATATTTCACAGGATTTCTGCTTTGATTATTATACAATGAAGTTATATATTGGGAACTTCAGAAACATTGATGGACTTTGGGTTTTACTTATCAAAAGTGTGTTAAAATAACCTTAAGTGTTTTCACATTTAAGGTGTATGAATTATTTCAATTTTGAAGGAAAAATCACTCATGTGTTAGGTTAAAAATCACACAAACACACACACAAAACCCACAAAAAGTAAGAAATCAAGTCAACTATCTGTTTTAATTCAGCAAATAAAAGAACCTAAACTGACAGTATCTTTTAGTCAATTTTTTTTTCAACAGCAATTTCTATGAAGCTCTTACCACAATGTGGTGCAATTTTTTTTTTAACAGATAACAGGAAGTTTGACAAATGAAGTTTTAAAGGAATATGAAGTCCAAGTCATTGTAATTCAACTTTATTTTCTAAAATAAAGTTGGCTATTTTGTCTTGGATAGATTATTGGTATTTCAAATTTAGAAAAACTTATATTATGCTAGTGTATAAGGCTATAACTTTATAATTTTCTATTTGCATTAAAGAAATTGCTAGAAATTAAAAAACACACTCACACACACAACACTCTTTTTTTCTGCTTTACTTATTATTATTCCCAGGACATTTTTTCTAACTACTGAGGAAAGAGAGTTCTTTTCTATGACATTATTACATTATGAAGCCTTACATTAATGAGTATTTTGTATTTTATGAGGACTGAAATATATCACTTAATACTGACAGGTATATAATTTTAAGAGTACTTCTAAATTGTTATAAGATTATTTAACTTAAGCTATTAAAAGTGGTTTTAATTTTTTGAAATATTCTTAATTTTTAAAGGTGACATCCTTAACCTTCCTTATGGTGCTATGTAATTTCCAATAAAATAGAAATCCCTCATTTCCTCTTACTTAAAATTTTAATGATAGGCTCAGCAAAATCTCCCCAAATAATTAAATGCTATTCACCTTGTTTCTTTGACCAAGTGCCCCGATCTACTTGGGTGGGTTTCTTCATGAAACTCAAATTTCTGCACGAGAAGACTTAACCTATTTCTCTTTTCCTTGGCTCTGTAAAGAAAAGGTATTAGTTTCCAGGCAATTTGGTTGACAATGAAAACCTCTCTTTCTAACTATCAAACAAATTCAAAATCAGTAATCACCTGGAAAATCTCTTCTCATCCACTATCCATTCCCCACACACTGGATGATTTTTCTAAAGAATCTCTTTTGAACACTAAGTTTGTGGAGGAATTAGAATAGCATATGTGAAATAGGTTTCTTTTCCCCTTTCAGTGACTACAAAGCATTTGAGATTATATTTTAATAAGATGCCACTAGTTCTGTGTTACTCAAACTGATGCACTTATTTATGAAAACACTTAGGTTAGGCAGTTTTTTATGCCTAGTAAGTAAAAACATGTTTAATTGTGACATATACTATTACTTGTTAATCTATATTTCAAGCAAATATTTTAAAAACAGTGCTTACATTCAACATTTTCCATGTTTTTTAAAGTATAGACTGATTTTAAAAATCCCACAAGTTTACCTGAGTTTGTCTTCTTTGCTTGCTTCTTCTTTGCCTGAACCATGTATTAACTTGAAAAAAGTTTTTTCTTTTGATTCGCACATATTTAATTAAGAAAAGAGGATCAGTGGTGTTTCCATCTTCTCTCTAAAATGAAGAGATACCTAATTTTTTAGATCCATCACTTGTTAATGCCCTTCCATAATTATGCATGATACAATAAAAAATTCTCTCAATGCTCTCAAAAAGTCTTAACAATTTTTAAAGAGAGTCAACAGCTGGGTTTCTGTCTCTGTGAAATGTAGAACTGAGGAACTGCAGTGCAGTTCGGTCCGAGTTGTTTAGGGAAATGATACTACAAATTTGCAAAATGACTCTTGGTCTACAAGATAAAGCCTGGTGTCACCACAATGCAACTTCTCTTTCAAGTTTGTGCAAACCGGTGATGCTTTAATAGACTCAAAAGACAGTGTCATTTCCTCCAGGAACTTTTTAAAAAGGTCTTTGATGTATGTGGTAGGAGTTAAAATGTACTGTAGCAAACTATTACATTAAACATTAGGAGATATCTCCCCATGTTCTTAAACTAATTTTACTTATTTTAATTACATTGAATTAAGTAAATTACATTTGATTGAGATAATTCTATGCAGTGTTAATTGCACTTGCAAAACATACTGTATTGTTATACGAATATATAGATCATAGAACTTTCCAGTTAAAGAGCTAGTAGAAAGCTTTTAATTATTTTTTAGGCACAATTACATGGGGTGATTTTTGACATTTATAAAATGTCAAAAATATACTGGTAAGTCCATGATGAAAAAAAAAAAAAAAGATAATATGGAATGTCTTCTTTTCCTTTAGGACTATGTTTTAATATTTCTAATATAAAGGATTTTCTGATTTTGAATTTGCCCTTCTGCCACTCTTATTGTTAAAATATTTTTTAATGAAATATTTTAACTGAAGATGCCAGTTTGTGTACTTACTTTATGTTCTTATTAAAAAAGAAGTGTGGGCCCTCCCTGGTGACGCAGCGGGTTAAAGTACAGACTAAGAAGCTAAAGCCACTTCCGCATGAGTTCCAACTCCGCCTGCCCTTGAGGTGACTCTCATGGCTCGGCAGACCTCTCCTGACCCGCCCGCTGCTCCCCTCAGCAGTGTACTTAGATAATCTGCCTGTTCTGCTCCCGCCCCTGTCTCTGGTGAATCCTCTCACCACTCCTGCACCTCTGGCCTATACCCCAGTTCTCTATACATAAATGAATAACTCTTAAAAAGAAATGTTGGCAACTCCAAGTCAGTTCAATTTCTACTTTTGTCATTGTTTCAAGAAACTCACATATATAAGAAATTACTGATACAGTACATATATCATATTTTATATAAAAAGAAACTGAGGATCACTGTTATTTAGTTTATTATAAAGTCCTATAGATCTGGGAAACAAGATCTGGAATTACCAGAGCCAGCAGTATGTACTTCATTCTGCCCAAGCCACTTGATTTCTAGCAGAGAATGACTTAATTCCTTTCAAATTTTGTGTTTTTTTTAATATATTTTTAAAATGTAAATAGAAAAGAAACTTTACAGTTTCTGTACAAATGCAAAAGAGAATTTGGTAAGTGATGACTTACCAATAAATTTGTTGATAGGGACCCAGCTAGGAGCTCAAATCATTTGCTGAGTTAAAATGAAAGGATATATTTCATGTGTGTGTGTGTGTGTACCAGTATAATAATATAAATTATTATATAATACTGTAAATGTATTATAAGATGTTCTTCTGATTTTATAACTTTTATTTTGAACATATTTTTCAAATTATATTGACTGAAAATTAACTTAAAATGTGTTTTGACATTTTATGGCAACTTGAGCTGAAAACAGATGCTGATTATACTGATGACACTTCCGCCCTGACATCCTACTATTTCTTAACACCCACACTGTTTGCATGGGAGTTATTTTTGCAATGGTGAATAAGGACAAAGGAATATCATAGGGGCACAGACATCATATAGTCCATAGATTACATCTGAATTTCTACTTGCAGAGCCGTGAGACAAACTTAGAGAACAATTGTTCATAAGATTTGTTGACATAGTGTGTAAGATGTGAAAAGCTTATAAAACAGGGAGACAGGTGTTGTGAAAATATGACATAAGTGAACTACTGTAAAATCTATGCAAGGGTTTGAAAGCAAATTAGGAGCTATGCAGACCTACTCTTTGTGAATATAGACAGGTGGATACAGGGGAGAAAACAGAAGATCTGACCCTACAGGATGACTTCAACTAATAATCATTTATTAAAACTTAATTTGATTTATTTTTAACAGAGGCAGTAATACCCTGTCAGGTATTTGCACTGTGCTTCACCACCAGCTACCCCATACTCCATCACCACAGACCACTGTGCTTCCTTCCCTCTTTGTTATCTCCTCTGTCCCATGCCTTCTCTGTTGTTTCACTTTTGTAGTCAGTTATCAAGGTTTAGTTTTTCAGCTTGTCTTTAGCTGACTACACTATTAATTTACTTTGTGTTCCGCATACTAGTGACACTATCTGGTATTTATCCTTCTCCTGTTAACTGAATTCATTTCGCATTAGCATTTCAATCTCCATCCATAGAGCCGCAGATGGCATGAGCGTATCTGTTTTTGATGGCTGCGTAGTATTCTATTGTGTATGTATACTACATCTTCTTGATAATCAGTTTTTAAGCAACTGTTTTCAGATAAAGAAAAGTTGCACAGCTCTGTGATCCTTAAAATACATAAAAAGTAAATCCCATAAATCCAGTAGCTATATTTTAGTGCAGGAAAGAGATGTCTCATTAAGAGACTGAGAAGTTTATGGAAATAATCCTTAAAATAGAGCAAAAAGTAATATTTTGAGGAAATTGCTGAATTTAACAAGAGCAACAGAACTGCAATTTTCAAGAAAAAGTACTGGAACAAGCTAAATAAACTATGAAAAGCTATCTGAGTCTGGCTGAATGAATGAAATAAGTTATATATATATATATATATATATATATATATATATTTCCAGTTGTTTATGTTATAAAATAATGTTCTGTATTAGTTAATTATGGATATGGCCATCTTTTCACATGGCTTATCTTTTAATATGATATTTGTATATACACATACATACATTTTATTATCTTACTGAATTATAGTTTTGTCCATAGAATTTTCTTCATTTGCAATTGATTTTCTTTGATTTTTTAATAAATGATTCTCTATAAATATTAATTGAAACAATCCCTTTCCAGTTGTTTTACTCTAATTTGTTTTTAACTTTATTTTATTAGTTTGTAGCTTCATTATAAAAAGTTCATAGTTGTCCTTTTAACCTTGCACTGAGAGAAATCAAAATTCACTAAACAAGTCTTGGTTTCAGGATTATATTTTGTGAACATGTGCATTTATATAATTATGGTCTTTAGTCTCTTATTTTCCTATTATAACTTTGTCTGGAATTTGAATATTTTTCTTGTTTTACACATGAAATTCATTTTATTATAGTTTTAGAATGGGACATAATTCAAGAATGCTTTTTCTAGCTTTAGTTTATTAAATTTAAGTAATTAGGTGGTAATTTACTACTATTCTGAGAATAATAAAAAGTTAAATAATTAGTATATATCCTCATATGTGATTTCCTTGAAAGCAAATATCCTCATATGTGATGTCTTTGAAAGCAAATTTTGTAGTGTGAGAGGGAACATAAAGATTCAATAGAGAATAATTAAAATCTTAATTAAAATCTCTCTTGTTTTGAAGTTTGAGTCTAAGTATCACTATAAAGACATAGGCTGTTGCAACTGGTTTGGTAAATGTTTCTAGACTTTTATGGTAGACAGTACCATAAATATTTACTTTTTCTACCTGTAAATATTTTCTACTTCTTTCCACTATGAAGTCCTACATAGAGATACTAATACAGTAGCAAAAAGACTGATTGTATTCTTGCTATGTCACTTCTTACTAAAAGCATCCTAGATTTAATGGAGACAGCACTGACTCCAGGAAATGTGCTAGCTGAGCCCAGCAAATCTTGTCCTCTCAGTTAGCAGGTAAGCTACCCAAAGACTAATGGGGTGAATACACAACTAATCCCGGGCCAACTTACATTAACCAAAAGAGACTATTTAAATTTTTTTTTAAAGATTTATTTATTTATTCATACAGAACTGGGGTACAGGGCAGAGATGCGGAGGGTGAGAGGATTCACAGGGGCAGAGTAGGGTACAGAACAGGCAGATCGACGAAGTACACTGCTGAGGGGAGGGGAGCAGCGGGTGGGTCAGGAGAGGTCTGCCACGCCATGTGGTCGCCTCCGGGGCAGGCGGGGATCGAACTCATGCTGAAGTGGCTTTAGCTTCTCAGTGCTGTGCTTTAACCCGCTGCACCACCAGGAAGGGCCCGAGACTATTTAAATTTTAATGATTTTGGGGCAACAGGTACTAGGTTATAGCACCGCATTATGAAGCTCTCCAAAGCCACTGCAGCACAAGTTCAATTCCTGGCCAGGGAGCTGACCCACATGGCGCGGCAGACCTCTCCTGACCCACCCACTGCTCTCTTCAGCATTGTATTTCAGTATATCTGCCTGTTCTGCTCCCTACTCTGTCTCTGGTGAATCCTCTCACCCACCACACCTCTGGCCTGTAGCCCAGTTCTGTATGCATAAATAAATAAATGGTTTGGGCTGGTCAAATGTATTTACATCATGAGTGTACGGTGATATTGTGAAAGAATTGCCTATCCTCAGATTGTCATAGAGATTAATTTGTTATCATGAAAACTGTTTAATATATGCAAGAATTAATTATAGTGCTCTAAGTATCTTCTCAAATTAACTGCCTAATCGCCTAATTATTTCAACCTGAAAGTCTGAGCATTCAGTTTTATCTAGGAAACACTCAACATTAGGTAGATTATAGCTGACAGTTTATATACAGACATTGACCAATAGTACTGAGGGAAACCCTACTTTGAGTGAAGAGATCAAAACAAGGGCACTTATAGAACTTGAAATTAGAATCTCAAATGTCTCATGATGATGTTAGACATTTAGGGCAGGGAGGGAAATGCCTAAAGATAATTAAACAGCCAACACAACCAGAGGCCCAGGAAACACTTGCCAGAGCTGAGGAGACCTGAAGCAAGCACCCAATGGGAAAGGCAGACCCGGTTCCAGCCTGCTGCCAGGGCTAATAAAACTGCCCAGAGCAAGTGAAAGGGAGAGTGACTTGGAAACTGTTGCC